AACTCCACACCTTCTCCTAATTTCCACACTCCGAATTTTCTGCATAATATTTACACCACACATTGCCCTTAAACAGGACATCTCCACTGCCTCCAACCATCTCCTCGCTGCTGCATTTACCACCCAAGCTTCACACCCATATAAGAGTGTTGGTACTACTATACTTTCATACATTCCCTTCTTTGCCTCCATAGATAACGTTTTTTGACTCCACATATACCTCAATGCACCACTCACCTTCTTTCCCTCATCAATTCTATGATTAACCTCATCCTTCATAAATCCATCCGCCGACACGTCAACTCCCAAGTATCTGAAAACATTCACTTCTTCCATACTCCTCCTCCCCAATTTGATATCCAATTTTTCTTTATCTAAATCATTTGACACCCTCATCACCTTACTCTTTTCTATGTTCACTTTCAACTTTCTACCTTTACACACATTCCCAAACTCATCCACTAACCTTTGCAATTTTTCTTTAGAATCTCCCATAAGCACAGTATCATCAGCAAAAAGTAACTGTGTCAATTCCCATTTTGAATTTGATTCCCCAAAATTTAATCCCACCCCTCTCCCGAACACCCTAGCATTTACTTCCTTTACAACCCCATCTATAAATATATTAAACAACCATGGTGACATTACACATCCCTGTCTAAGACCTACTTTTACCGGGAAGTAGTCCCCCTCTCTTCTACACACCCTAACCTGAGCCTCACTATCCTCATAAAAACTCTTTACAGCATTTAATAACTTACCACCTATTCCATATACTTGCAACATCTGCCACATTGCTCCTCTATCCACTCTATCATATGCCTTTTCTAAATCCATAAATGCAATAAAAACTTCCCTATCTTTATCTAAATACTGTTCACATATATGCTTCAATGTAAACACCTGATCTACACATCCCCTACCCACTCTGAAACCTCCTTGCTCATCCGCAATCCTACATTCTGTCTTATCTCTAATTCTTTCAATTATAACCCTACCGTACACTTTTCCTGGTATACTCAGTAAGCTTATTCCTCTATAATTTTTACAGTCTCTTTTGTCCCCTTTCCCTTTATATAAAGGGACTATACATGCTCTCCGCCAATCCCTAGGTACCTTCCCCTCTTTCATACATTTATTAAACAAAAGTACCAACCACTCCAACACTATATCCCCCCTGCTTTTAACATTTCTGTCATGATCCCATCAGTTCCAGCTGCTTTACCCCCTTTCATTTTACGTAATGCCTCACGTACCTCCCCCACACTTACATTCTGCTCTTCTTCACTCCTAAAAGATGGTATACCTCCCTGACCAGTGCATGAAATTACTGCCTCTGTTTCTTCCTTAACATTTAAAAGTTCCTCAAAATATTCTTGCCATCTACCCAATACCTCCATCTCCCCATCTACTAACTCCCCTACTCTGTTTTTAACTGACAAATCCATATTTTCTCTAGGCTTTCTTAACTTGTTTAACTCACTCCAAAATTTTTTCTTATTTTCATTAAAATTTCTTGACAGTGCCTCTCCCACTCTATCATCTGCTCTCCTTTTGCACTCTCTCACCACTCTCTTTACCTTTCTTTTACTCTCCATATACTCTGCTCTTCTTATAACACTTCTGCTTTGTAAAAACCTCTCATAAGCTACCTTTTTCTCTTTTATCACACCCTTTACTTCATCAATAATTTATAATAATAATAAAAATTAAATTCAAGTTCAAATATTTCCTCGTAAAGTATACAATGTGTGGTAATTCTTACTCTAAATTGATATAGGTTATAACTGTCCAGTACATTTGAACATATTATTAGATACGTAATTAGATACATACCCAATTAGGCACATACATAATTCGGTTTAAAATAGTTAGGTAGTACAGATCATATAATAATATTACAAATGGTAGATTTAGCAATGGGATTCAATTTGTCTTGACATGATACATTGTTTCTACTAAAGTTCATACACTGGAAGAGTATCTTATGCAAGCTTAGGACTAACTTAAGATTTAATAGGCAATAGCTAGAATTGGAATTTTATGTTTACAATCATTTGGGTGAGTGAAGGTGTAAATCATGGGGGAATTACAGACAAGGAGAGTAGATCTTTATTGTTTTGGATGTGTTCATGATACAAAAAAGAGAATTAGGTGCTTTTCATTTGGTTAGCTGATGATGGGGTGTATTAAAGAGATGAGATGTTTTTCAATCATAGTTTTGAAAATGGTGGTAGAGTCTGCAGTTCTAGAGTTTTCAGGCAGGGGGTTCCAGATTTTAGGCCCTTTTATGTACATATATCGAATTTTGTGGGGGTTTAGCAGGACACGGGGAATGTCATAGAGATTTTTGTGTCTGGTGTTGTGTCTATGGGTCCTGTTACAACTATCAAGAAGGTGTTTTAGTTCAGGGTTAATATTAGAATTTATGGTTCTGTAAATGCAGGTTGCATAATAGTAAGTGTGAATGTTCTGTACGGTGAGTAGGTTTAGCTTTTTGAAGAGTGGGGGGTGTGTGCTGTCTTGCAATGGATTGCATGATATTTCTTACTGCAGCTTTCTGTTGGGTTATTATTGGCTTTAGGTGAGTTGCTGCTGTTGATCCCCAGGCACAAATAGGTGAGGTAGGGATAGATGAGTGAATAGTATAGTGTGAGTAGGGCTGATTGTGGTACATAGTAACGTATATCTTGGAGAGGATCCAAACTGATTTGGATACTTTTTTGTTCTTTGTTGGATATCGGTGTTGAATTTCAGACTGCTGTCAAAGTGCAGGCCTAGAAATTTGCCTTCATTATGTTTAGCAATAGGAGTGTTGTCAATTGTTATGTTCAGCTGGGCAGCACCTGTTCTGTTCCCAAACAGAATGTCAGAGCATCATTCCCTCTAAAAATTACATGAGAATGGAAGTGTTGGTCTTTATTTATTCTACTGTACCACTGTGGAGACAACTGGTACACAATGTAAGGTGTTTGTATTATGATATAAGCTTTACAAATATGGAAATGAATGTGTATCAACCCACCAGCCATGTTCATCTGTTTGTTTATATACTCTGAGGTTCTGTCCTCTCTCATTTACTAGTTGTCTCTCTCCCTCTCATTTATTCATTTTTATATCGTTTACTCACCTCTTACCCTACATTAAGACTACAAATATTTTAAGGTAAATAATGAGTGTACTGTACGTATATGCATTTTATCGCTCTAGGGAGCCTTAAATGTCGTAGTGGTTGGGGTGGCCAGGCGGGATGCCATACCTCCCACACGGCTTTCTACAAATAAATACTATTCACCTCTCACCCTACACTAAGACTACAAATATTTTAAGGAAAGCAATGAGTGTACTGCATATGCATTTTATCACTCTAGGGCACTTTAAGCGTCGTAGTATATTATGTGTGGGTGGGGTGGCCAGGAGGGCTACCACACCTGACTACATTCAGACTACAAATATTTTGAGGTAAATAATGAGTGTACTGTGTGTATTTTACTATTTATTGTTTTTTAATGCCTAGTTCTATTAGTATAAACTTGTTATCTGGCATTCAGATGCATTTACAAGTGGAAAAAATGGCATTCTGCTTTCCGGTGATGTCTGCCTTCTGGCAGTAGCCTGGAACCTACCCTGCTGTATAAGTGGGGCCCTACTGTAGTAATCAAATAATCACAAACACACTGACAGGTGAACATTTTCACCTGTCTCAGTCACATACTATTGTCTAGAAATATATACAAAAGATTCATAGGTCCCAACAATGTTTTAGACAGGCTGGAGTATATGAAATTCCTTGAAGCACAATGTAAGACCAGTGTCACTCCACTGCTGACAGTGCAGCAGTGGAGTGACACTTGATGATTGTGTACTACTCCAGTGAACCTTGGCTTTATTTGTTTTCACTGTTACACATAAGCATGTCTGTCCATCTGTCTGTCTATCTGTCTGTCTCTAGCTCTGTCTCTGTTTATCTGTCATTCTGTCTGCCTGTGTATCTATCTTTCTGTTTGCCTATGTGTTTCTGTCTTCCTATCTCTCTGTCTGCTTGTCTGTCTCAGAGAGAGCTGCTCATAAACCAGCAGGTATTACACACGATGCAGAGATATCACGTCTGATTCCTGATCAAGTGAAAATGCGCATTACTTACCAGTCATGCCTATTATGCCTTATATCAACAAGAACAGTATAACATTTTGTCTGTTTTTTGGGTTATCCTAGGTAATTTACACTATGTACAATAACTTTACTTATGTGTACCTGTGAGTTAGAGACAGAGAGAGATACGGAGATAGAGAGATAGACAGAGATAGATACAAGCAGACAGATATAGACAACCAAAGTCAATCAGCCAGCCAGCCACCCACCCAGCCGGCCATCCACCCAGCCAGCCAGCCACCCACCCACCCAGCCAGCCTGCCAAACATGTATTACACATGTTCCAGAATTGTTTCTCTTTACTTAGGGCATAGGTTATGTGATATTCTCACAGGATGACACTATTAGTGGTATCAAAATTGAAAAGATATGGCACAAATGCTGCACATGGGCTATTGTTGAGGTTTTTGATATTTCCTCAACTACTTGTGGCCACATCCATCTCAAAGCCACTAACTCTGTCAACATCACTTTCCTCTTAAAAGGAGAGTGTTAATACAACATGGCATCTGTGAATCCCTTGCATCTGCCATGCTGTTTGCTCAAGCTGGTGCTCAATTGAACTGGTGCTCCCACAAGGTACTAAGTGGTCCCAGATTTTTTTAATACTGCACACACCGAGTATTAAGACCCATTCTGTACTGACCAGGCATCTCAGGACAATCATGCCAAATTTGAAGGCAGGAGAAATAATACATTGATCTACGTTTGGAGTGCTAGTGGTAACAACGTAGATCTATGTTTGGACAGTCTAAGGTTCAAATACATATATAGTAACCTGTTATTGTTACTATCAAGTAATTTGCTAACTAAAAATAAAAGAGCCTTAACCCAAAAAAAATCAATACCTTTCTAGGGACAAAATAATCCTCAGATGCACCCTCATCTCTAATGAAGAATTGTTTATTGCGCAGCTGTACTTCATCTACTGGGTTGATGAAGAGAGCGGATGCTACAGCTTCACACGCTGCCTTTGTGTCACCCTCTGTCAACACAAACAAGTGCTTCAAACAAATTAATTATTCTACATAAATATACACTGATATGTTTTGGCTTGGGAGTCTATGTTTAGCCTCTTTAAACATTTCCTGGTGTGCGGTTATCTGCTTTTTTTTCCATTTGTTGCCCCCAGGGTTTCAATATCAATTCCCAATATAGAATATCAAAGTATTGTAGATTTTATGGCTCATTATGTCTCACCTATTGATATTACCATAATCCACATATTCGAAAATTAATATAGAGTACAATATATGTAAGACATATTGGAATCATGTACTGCAGACAATGAGTTATGATAATTTTGTGGGATGATATGTTTCCTGGGATGGATTAATATTGTATTAAAAGATCTCTGAGTTGTGTATGACTGAACTGACAAGACAAATGACAACAGATTCTTAACAATGACATTTATGTAAATATAGTGTAACCTCAACTTATGAGTTTAATCCGTTCTGTGAGCTAGCTCAAAACTCAATTTGCTCATATATCAGATCAATTTTCCTCATTTAAATTAACTGAAATGCCATTAACCCTTTGAGGGTCGACAGGCCCTCTCCGAAACTCGTTCTCAGGGTCGGCCAAATTTAAAAAAAAAAAATTATTTTCTCTTATGAAAAGATAGAGAATCTTTTCCCGATCATAAGGACACCAAAAGTTTGAAATTTGATGGAAAACTTACGGAATTATGCTCTCGCAAAGTTAGCAGTCTCGACGATGTTTACGCATCGGCGATTTTGCCCACTTTGAGCCCCATTTTCGGCCAATTCCACTGTACTAGTCGACAAAAAACATGAATATTTCACTAGAACTCCATTTTTTCTATCGAATGGGTGCAAGAAACCACCCATTTATGAAATTCAACTATCCAGTACAGTGGTCAGAATTTAGCAATTTTGCCAATTTCACACAAATTTCAAAAGATGCCAATTTCCGAATAGGGTCCAGAATAAACAAGAAAGACATTCCTGGCACTAAAATGACATTTCCTCTAGTCATTAGTCACGTCTCAAGGCCCCTCTTATATTCTTTTGCTTTCCACTTTGAATTTTTATTCTCACAAAAAATATAAGATTTACTGTTATGCAGACTACTGCATTAGTGTAAAAAGTGATATAAATATTATTGGTGCACTTGTGAAAGAATATTAGACTCACCAGTTGACGTGTATTGCACGCTTGGCATGATTTGTTTACTTTTGAAATTTGGTAAAAATCGAACATTTCTGCTACTTTGAGCTCAATTTCAAGGTACCTTTCATTGTAAAACCAGTCAAAATCATCTCAATTTCTGTAATATGTCTTCCATTCTATAAAATGAGACCAAGAAAACTAGAATACAACAATAAATACCATACGAAAGTACAGTGCAAAGTCGCTGTTTTATTCCAAAAAAAATGGTCAAAGTTTTTTTTCTCTCATTATGCACTGTGTGCTGCAGGATTTTTTTTAGACTGTGCACACTGACCACATAGACCCATTCTTTCATATGAAGGCCTACCAGCTTTCTCCCACTAGATTTGAGGGCGCTAGAATTTAGGCATACTAGTACGTCAAAAACCCTGGGTCGTAAGCCGTACTAGTACGTCCGAAACCCTCAAAGGGTTAATCTGCTCCAGCAGAATTCCTGCTCTCGGGGAGGCATGACAAAATATTTCAATATAATGCTAATATCAACTCTACGGTTTATTTATCTATCACAATTGATCTAATATGACATAATGAACAATATAAATAACATAGAAACATGATATATACTCTAGAATGAATAAAATATGTCATTATGTGACGAGTGATGGCGGCCATTTATTTCCGCTCCCGCTCTGACCATATCTTCCCATGCTTCTCCTTCTGAGGTCTTATTGTAAGAGAAAACAGTGTTTGTGAAGTTAACTGCACTAGATCACAAGTTTCATAGGGAAAACACTGAAACAATGTATATATTTATAAATAAGAAATATTGCATAAAAACATAATAAAACATAATAGAGAATATAAAGAAATAAACTGGTTTGATAAAGTGTATGTATTTACCTTGGAGAACAGATGCTGGTGGAGGTTGAGGGTGGAAAAGATAAGCAGAGTGGCGTATGTTGTCAGTGACCCTATAAACCCAACAATAACAACAAAGTTGGAGGAGTTCGTTTCATTTCGTGCTTTTTCTTTCGCTTAATCACTTAACTTACTTGCTACACTCTAATGCTACACTTAATTGCTGAACTTAACTGCTACAATTTGTTTTTTTAATTTTTTTCACTTCACTTTTCACTGATTTACTTGTTACACTCTTAATTCTACACTGGTACTGCCTGGCCAAGTCCACAACCCTCACACCTCGCTTGTGTTTATCTATGATTTCATGCTTTAATTCCATGGTCATCATCCTCTTTTTCTTCTCAGCACTGTCCTTTGCACTTAATTTCTTAGGACCTATGGTTAGAAAAAAGAAATTTGGCAAAATAACTGCACAAAATCGCCAGCAAAACACAAGAGAATGCTTCCACGGTGAGGTAAACACGTGCACTGCTGAGGGATGTGGCGTTCACTGTACCAACTAGTGGTGGCATTCTGAAGCTCACTCATAACTCAGATTTTGGCTCATAACTTGAGAGCAAAAAATCAACCGAGCGATGGTTCGTATCTCGAAAAACTCGTATGTTGAGGCACTCGTAAATCAAGGTTCCACTGTAGTCTTCCTTTATGATACTTTTTTTCAAAAAATAGTCATACCTATTCTTGTGAAAAAATTAATATGCCAGTATATTCTTGTAAATTTAATTTTAATATACTGTCAGTATTTTTTGGGGAATAATTTATACGCTCCCCATTCTTTTCTTGAAATTTTTTAACATTGTGAGTATGACTAGCAAAATTTCCTCAAAAAACCCTTTGAGGGTCGACGGGCCCCCTCCGAAACTCGTTCTCTTTTTGGGCCCAAAATTTTTAAAAAAAAAAAATTATTTTTTCTATGAAAAAAATAGAGTATTTTTTTCTAACTTATAGGAAAACAAAAAAATTTTAACGTCAATATTTAAACCCGAGATATGGGGGTTTTTGAAATTTGCCAAAATTGAACAAAAATTTTGGTAACATCGGACTGCCGCCCCCGGTTTTTTTTCTATTTACTTTTTTTATGTACTTTTTTTCAATTATTTTTCAATTTTTTTTTTTTCTGATAACAAAATTTTTGGCCTCTAAAGGCCAACATGTTCATTTTTTTTTGTAAGTTATTTCTTTTTCTTTTACTCAAAAAAGGGCGTAAAACGGGTTTTTTTTTAAATTTTTGTTTTACAGAAAAAATTTACAAAAAAAAAACGATATGAAATGTTGTTTATTACTATTTTTCTATATTTTATATCACATAACAGTCACGGGGAAATTTTTTTAGAAGTTCGGGCACCCTGGGGAAAATTCTTTGAAACATGGTGTCATGCACAGTGGGGTTTTTGCCCCCCCTCCTCCCCCACATAAACCCAAAGGTCTCTGCGTTTGCGTGGGCTTTTCCCTTTTTCCCACAGAGGGAACCCTCTTCTGACCCTTTTTTTCTTAAAAGGGGCCAGTAGCGGGCATTTTTCCCCAAGGAAGTGATCACCATGTTTCAGAGAGCGGGTAGTTGTTGAAAAAATTTGGTGGGCGGTCAATTGCAGGTGCTTTTCCCTTGGTACTTGAATACTTTTTGTCTATGAAAGACAAAACAAAATTCCCGAACTGTGGTTTGTTTCGGGTGCTAAATCTTATACATAATTATAAGCATTGACATGGAAATTTTTAAAAGAGGAAAAACTTTTTTGAGGTCCCACTTAAACTTTGCGAAACAAAACAGCAAACCCAATCTGCATGTCACATTTGTCCACTGAATGGGTGTTTAAGGTTTTTAAAAAATATCAAAAAGCTGCAGGTTTTTGAAAGGGTTATTTTTTCTCTCTTTGTGCCTGCCACTGTTTGCCATTTCCCTTAGGGTGAATTTATGACAACCCGTGTGACATCTCGTTTGTTTATGCCCCCCGAAATGCCATGATGTTTGGCAGCAAAAAGGGCCCGCACCTTTACTTCTCGAGTTTTCCAGGTCAAACCTGGGCATATGGTTTTTGATTTGCACGCACGTGCCAAAACACATCTGTCATGTTTTACTGCAAAAAAATCACTGAGTGGGGGTTGTGTACCAGTTTTCTGAAAATAAATTTAAACCCCCTTTTCCAAGGTATTGGGTTTTATCATTTTTTCGAAAACCCCATCACCGAGATGCCCAATAAACCCTTTCCCGGTTTTTTTGGGAAGTTTAATTTTTATGTAAAAACAATAATATCCAATCCCGACCAACTGTAACCCAAACACAAAGCACAAACAAAATTTTTTAAAACCAAAACGTTTTCCCCTTGCTTGGTAATTGGTAACTGCGAAAAGGTTTTTCTTTTTAACAGAATCAAAGACTCGTCAATTTTCAAACTTCCCGAAAAGGGGTAAAAAAGGTACTGAATTTTGTTTTCAGTACACAAACATTCCTAAATTTATTTTAAAACCCGTCAGTTCTGTTTAGGCCTGGTTTTTTCTGAGAAGTGAAAGGGATACGTAACATTAAAAAACGATTCACTTTGGGATTATATCACTGAAACCCGGTGTTCTCAGGGGGGGCCCCGTTTACCGTTTTGATTTCACTTTTTGCTTATACCCATGTGGAAAAAAGCATTATTGTGGGGAAAAAAAAGATAATCTCGCCACAGTTTTCCTCCTTCCACTGGTGGGAGACGTGATTTTGGTTTAAAAATAAGTGTTTGCCATGGGGTACTCGTAAATATGTGGGTTTCTTTCCATTTACAATAAATTTCATCAGTGGTTTCAAAGAATAACTCCCAAACATTCCAGTTCAGTGGCATTTTTCCCAAATGCCAAGATGGGGCCCTAAATTTCCCCTTTGGCTGCCATAAATGGGGGGGATTTTGGAAAAAAATTGACAGCTTCCTGCCAAACCCCGGTGGATGTCTGC